ATGTCCAGGAATTAATGTCCAGGAATCCTGGACATTCCACAATATATAAAGCCCCCTTTATATGTCCAGGAATCCTGTATCTGTTTTCAATTTTGATAATATTTATGACAAAAGATTGAAAGAAAAATCACTGGCAAAAGACAGTATTATTTCAAGTTCAAATTAGCATTCTTGGGCCAGGGATTTAGCTCAGTGGCACAAATGCCTACCTGGCAAGTGCAAGGTCTTGAATTCGATTCTCAGTACGAAAAAAAAAAAAAAAAGCACCCTTCATCAAAAACTTGAGTGCTTTCATTTGACTGTTACTTGTATATTAGAATAAGACCCCAGTTAAGGATGAGACTTAGGCAACTGGAGATCCTTCAAATACATCGATCAAAATGGTCTATGCTACCCGTAGTCTCCACATGCTGAAGTTTCATTTAAAATCTCTTTAGTTCTCCCCTGGACAGCTTCCCTCAAGAAAGCAAAATGGCTCTAGCAGTCTGTGGTCTTACCTTACCACGGATCACATCCTTTCCAAGAGCACAGCACTTCATCCACTGGGGGATGCAGGTGCTGGGGATTTAACCCAAGGGTCTGACAAATGTTAGGCGGGTACTCTTCCCACTGGGCTAACCCGAGCCCATCACTCTTAATACACCTTCGGTACTATTGCCTCATCAACCTAGGTTACCTGCCCAGCACAGACCCACATTACCTTGTTTTAAGCAAAGGTTCCTAAAACAATCTGCTACCTACCATGCTAAAGAAAAAAAAAATTCTAGGTAAGTACTTGCACAACTTGAACAGAAGTAAAATTTACAACAGCATGTACACTGTGATAGCAGACACAAGGATGAATGCAGAGTAGGTGCACACGAGCTGACCCTGGTGTGCTGTAAGGGCAACTCCACCACCACCCTGGTGACACACGTTTCCAAACGATACTCGTGGAAATGCTCCAAACCAAAGTCCTCTTTCCTTGATTTATACAGTAGCTGTGTTGCTGGAGAACTCAATGTGGTGCATATTAATTAAAACCAAGGGCTGGGGATGCAGCTCAGTGGCAGGGTTTGCCTAAGGCCCTGAGTTAAATCCCCAGTACTGCACACAACAAAAACACAAAAATATTTTTCTTGTATTTACAAGAATTAGTTTGTAGGAACAGATCATGATACATAGGTCCTTTACCTGTATGTGTTATCTGATGAGGTACTGGAAGGTCATGTAGGACAAAGGATAGTTCTTGGTCTCTGCTCATTAAAAATTAGTAGTGTCCTCCTAACACTAAAAAACTACCCCTAGCAGCTATCAAAATGCCCCTCCTATAACACAGTACCTTCCTTAAGAGCCACCAGCTGGACTCGATACTCAACTGTAATCCCAGGTAACCGGGAAGCCTGAGGTAGGAAGATTACAAATTCAAGGCCAGCCTGGGCAACCGAGCAAGACTTTGGCTCAAGACAAGAAGGGCTGGAGATGTAGCCCTGTGACAGAACATTTGCCGCCTAGCATGCATAGGCGCTGGGACCAGTCTTCAGTACCCTTCCCTCACAAAGCACCACTGGGCTGGGGGCAACGGAACTAAGCCAGTCAGGGTCACACAAACCGTGACTTCTGCTACAGCACGGGTTGGGAGTGCACTAGAGATGGAAGTCCAATGGTATCTATCAACACTAATCTCCTCACTCATAAATTCAGAGAATTTCAAGTTTGCCACAGATAAAAGGCTTTGGATTGAAGCAATTTTCCTAATAAAGCCCACTATATTTACTCCTCAAAGCATGTTCACATGTTCAAATTCATGTAATGTATACTTTTTAAAGGTGATTTACAACCTTACTAGGTTTTAGGTAACACTTAAACCCATTTAGTTGAAATGCTGTTTCAGGAGAAAACAATGGTATCATGGACTCAATATCCACTGCAGTTTAAATCCCAAAGAACTTCCTGGTGTTAACAGGAATGTTTGTTCATTCATTTACTCCTTAGTTGATACTGTAAATTTATGACAGAAAAAAGACTCGATGAACATACTGAGTTAGAACTTCTTAAACTCAAATTTTTGTCTCATCTAACATCAGACCTGCTTATTAAGGCTTATCTATGGCTTATCTACAATTAAAAGGCTCTCCTGTCACTCACGTGGACCCTCAGTGGAGCAGAAGTCTCTAGAGCCGAACACTCATATGGAGATAGGGAAGGTTGTTGCTGTTATCTTTCTTGTAAGGAACTCCGTCACTGAGAAACTTTCAATAAAGCTAAAGTCCTTGTTTCTAGATTACTAATCACGGAAGAACATTCTACACTCAAAATTTCTTTATCCCGGCTGCTGGTTTCTGAACTGGGTTCCAGGCGCCATGTCTGCCCACCAAGGTGGCCAGAAGCCTCTGAAACAGCCCAAGAAACAGGCCAAGAGATGGACCAAGATAAAGCACTCAAATAGAAGCCAGAAAAACAGCCAGAGAGGAGCACAAGACTAGAGGAGCTAAAAGCAACGCTGGGAGGAAAGGCCCCTGGCAATGGGTGGGAGTAAGAAACCTAGCGAAAAATAACCCTGTCCCTTGTGCCTAGGATGCCGGTGTCCCTTGACTCCATTCCTATTCAAGGATCTGGGTTCCCTGCCATAGCATCTTTTGACACCCATAACTAGAATGAACTGTGGTCTTGGAAGTCTGTTGTACATTTCAGAATAAAATTGTTTTAAAAAACTTCTTTCAGAAAGAGATAAAAGAAAAACAGCTACTAAAAAGCAGTTTAATACTCCTCAGGAGAGTGGGGCTTTTAAAAGGGAGCTGCAGCTGGTATTCCTAATTCAGTTTGCCAGATTTATTTAACAAGTATGTAATGGGACTTGGATATGGATATGGAATTTCAATATTTAAAAAAAAAAATCAAAGCTAGGTTTTTAAAAAAACTCTGAAATCTGCACAGAAAGCACAGGGAAGAATGCTGCTGTCGAGGCCAAGAAAAAGGGAGAATTTACAACCAAACTTGATACAAGCAAGGATGCCCAGAAAACTATCAAAGACATTAATGACAGTAGCAATACAGAGCTTACACACCCGTGCTGCCCACGAGCTCACTATGTAGTCCAGGCTGGCCTCTAACTCACAGCAATCCTCCCGCCTCAGCCTCTTCTTATCAGAAGAAGGGCATTTAATTTGGTCCTAAAGAATTTATCTTGGTGGGGAAGAGAATCAAAAAGAGAGAGATTACACCTAAACATTGAGATTACATACCATTTAAAGCAAATCTAAATTAAATAAGCCCTATCAATATCTGCAAGTTTATTTTCTAAAACCTTAGGCACAAAAAAAAAATCTCTAACACTGACAACCCATGTTAGTTTTCAGAGGGGAAGTTATCTTTTAAAATTAA